GGGCCCTCCGAGGGCCCACTGGGGCCCCGGGAAGGCCCCAAGAACGCTCCCAGAGGGCCCCAAGAATGCTCCAAGAGGGCCCCAAGAGGACCCCCACAAGTGACGAAAACTATTTGCATGAGGGTGCAACTTACTCGGCGCCTCTTGGGGCGCTCTTGGAGCCGTGCTGGGCGCCACTCGTGGACGACATGGGCTGGGCGACGGCATGTGGACCCTGTCGCTTGGGCCATCGGGGGTGCTCCCCATTGGGGCCACGAAGCTTGTGAGCGTATGACGGAATGGGCTGGGCGGCGGCCTGTGGGCCCTGCCTGTGGGGCCGTCGGTGTAGCTCCCCGTGGGGCCACGAAGCGTGTGAAACGTATGCCGGAATATGCTGGGCGGCGGCCTGGGCGCATGGGAACCTGCCGTTGGACTTGTTTTTTTGTGGATAGCTTTCCATGGGGGCACGAAAATGTTGAGGGCGTCATTCAATGTGGCCGTTGGGCGACGGCTGTGGACCTCCGCCGCCGGGACCTCCGATGAGCTTGCCGCATGGGGACACGAAGCGTCTGAAGGGCTTGCCGACATGGGCTTGGCCGGCAGCACCACACGAGTATTACGGGGATGGCGAAGCAGAGACGCGGGGGAACAAAGGGGGTGTTTTGATGATGTTGATGAAGATGGTGGTGGTATTGATGATGGAGACGACGATAGTGCTGATGATGCTGATGATGATGGTGATGGCGACGATGACGATGGACGATGACGACGGGGACACGAGGGGAGCAGGGGCAGATACGCGAAGAGGGAGGACGAGGGAGGGGGCTGGAAGGAATGACGCGGGGCGGTGTCTCTTCAAAACGAAGAACCAACACTGCAATATGGTAGGACATTTCTGGACGACCCCCCCCGTGGCGCGGTCAATGTCCGCGACAGCATCGCTGGCACTACGAACGAAATGATCGAACTCTTCCTGCGACGTTACCCGCGGGGTGGATCAGCCAGGGATGGGGGCCGAAACCGCCCCAGCGCAAAGCAAATGTACAATCCTGAGAAGCCCCAGCCCACATCAACCGATCCGCAACAAACACGCAAGCTTTTGACGACCCCAACGCACGTGACATCGCATAACGCGACGCGCCATCGAAAACGTTCGACGCGCGGCCTCGGAATGACATCGGGCTTCATGGAACGTCGAATGGAAAACATGAAAAACCGCCCTGTGGGCTCTGAGACCCAAAACTACTGATGTGAAGGATTTTGGCTCGTCGACGGCGGTCGGCTGCTGTCGGGGAGACGCTCCGGCGCCTCGTCGGGAAGCGCCTGCGCCGCGAGGTCGCCGACGCGGCGCGCGACCGCGTGGCGCCGCTCCAAGTCGGCGTCGCGGTGCCTGGAGGGGCCGAGACGGTTGTCCGCGTCGCCCGCCAATGGTGGGCGCGCAGCCCTGGGCGCCGCGAGAAGTGTTTTGGCGAGCTCGACCTCTCCAGCGCGTTCAGCGCCTTTCTGCCCCGAGGAATTCCCTTCTCCTCTGGCGCCGCATGCCGAGGTGCTGCTCGGCAAGCCCTTCTGTCGTCTGCCTCGGCAAGCGCGGGATCCGCTCGGGGTGCGGAGTGCAGCAGGGCGGCTCTCTCGGAACTTCGCCCTTTGCGCCACCTCTCCGGCGGCGCGATGGACGGGCCTTTCGCGCCGCCACCCCCGGCCCTGCCAGGCCAGCGCACCGGGGCCAGGTCACCTTCGAGGCGCTCTTCCTGGGCGAGGGGGCCCTGGCGGGCGACTGGCGCGCCTCCTCCTGCGAGCTGGCCGCCCTCGCTGCGACGGGGCTCGACTTCGGCGCCGGGCCCAGGAAGTGTGAAGCAGTCTCGACCAGCGGCGCTGACCGCGCGAGCGCCTTCCTGCAAGGCTTCTGGCCTTCGCGCGGGCTGGAGTGTCGAACTTCTCAGAACGCCCGTCGGCGACGACGCCTTCCGCTGCCGGCGCGCAGCGAACCGGGTCTCTGCGGCGCGAGGCAGGCGCCTCAGACCCCAGGGGCAGGGGGCGCGATCGGAAGCGAAACGCTGTTGAGGTTGGCTGGATTTTCGGTTGGAATGTTGGCGCCTGCGCTGGAATCGGAACCAGTGTCGATAGCGACGCGATGCTGGCGCCGACAGGCGCAGACTCGTTCTTAGCATCAACATCGACGCAATCCAAGGGGGGGGGAGCCCGCGGGAGCCTGGAAGATAAGAGGGGGGAGGGGGGGGCGGGAGGCGCGCGAGGGCGAGGCGGGCGAGGTGGAGAGCCTGCAAGGAGGAGCAGGACGAGGCGTAGGGGGGATGGATGTGACACCGGCAGAAGGAGGACCAGGAGAAGGAGGAAGACGAAGCGGAAAAGCATCGCCAACATATCCATGTGTAGACTCAGCCCAACGTCCTTAATAACGATTCTAAACCAGGGTGGCTCCAAATATTGTTTGCGCGTGCTCCGAATCATCGTCATCCCGCCCCTGATTTGCCTGCGCCCTTGTCATCATCGCCGTCGTCGTCACTGTTTGCACCGTCCGCTTGCGATACTTGTTGCCCTCTCCCCCTCCCACCGCTCCTCCTCCTTCTCTACATGTTCCTTGTCTTCCTTTTCTTCCTTTTCCTCCCCCCCTCATCCCGTTCCTCCTTCTCCTCGTTTGCCTGGAACCCCCCTGGGGCACAATTTGATATTAGCAGTGTAATGTAGCAGGCAGCGTGGGCCTGGTCCCGTCTGACTCCTCTTTCCTACCTCTCGGAGCCCATTTGTGAGGATGTCTAAAAGGAAAAGTGGCCGGAATTCCTCGCGCGCGGCATCTCGGAGCCCAGAGTTGCGAGACGGTCTCAGGCGAAATTGGCTCACGCGCGGCGTCTTGGAGCCCAGAGTTGCGAGGATGGATGAGGCTAATATGGCCGGAGTGCTTCGAGGGGAAGATCTTTGAGCCTGGAGTTTCGGGAATGCGTCAGGCGAAATTGGCCAAACGACCTCGGGCGCGGCATGTCTGAGCCCAGAGTTGCGAAGATGTCTCAGGCAAAACTGGCCATACCACCTCAAATCGGGAACATCTCGGAACCCAAACTTGCGAGGATGTTTCAAGCGAACTGGGCCAGACAACCTCGCGCGTCGCAGCTTCGAGCCCAAAGTTGCGAGGATGTCTCCAGCGATTTGTACCAGATCACCTCAAGATGCATCAATTCGGACACCGTAATTACGAGGATGCCTCAGGCGAAACAGGCCAGACCACCTCGCGCGCGGCATCTCCAAACATGAAATTGCGAGAATGTCTCAGGCGAAACGGGCTGGACCACGAACGCGCGAAATCTTGGGGCCCAAAGTTGCAAATATGTTGCAAACGAAATTAGCCAGACCCCTTCGCACGCGGCATCTCAGAGCCCACAGTTGCGAAGATATTTCAGGCGAGTTTGTCTGGACCACCTCATTCCTGGCATCTCGGATCTCGCAAAATTGCGAGAATGCCCCGGGCGATCTGGGCCAGACCACCTCAGACCAAGGCATATCTGAACCCAGAGTTGTGAGGATGTCCTTGGCGAGTAGGGCTGAGCCAACTCAGGTCCGAGGATCTCCGATTCCATGGTTGCGATGATGCTTCTGGTGAAAACGGGCCAGACCACCTCGCGAAAGGTACCTCTAAACCGAGAGTTGCAAGGATGTCTCAGGCGACATGGGCCGGACCACATCATCCCATGACACTTGTGGAGTCCGAAACCCGGATAGAGGAGCGCCAGAAAAAGGCCCTCCAACGCCTCTTGAAGGAACTCGGAAAAATTCTTGGAAGGAGCTTCCGAAAAAGCTTTTGGACATCTGCCGGCGCACCTACTGGGAAAGAGTTAGAAAAGGCCTGTAGGGACAAGCTGCGACCTCGCAGGAACCGCTGCGAGGTGTCCTGCTGGACGTTGGAACGAACTCTGTGGCCATCCTGCGGCGCTGGCTTCTAAATCTAAGGAACGATCTTAGCTCTCAGAGAGCTATCTGGGAACATCTGTCTGGGCCCGCAATTTCAAGAATCCTCAGGCGAGCCGGCAGCACCTCTTCGCGCGCGGCGTCTGGGAGCCCATAGTTGCGAAGATGTCTCAGGCGAAATTATGCAGACCACCTCGCGCGCGGCAGTTCGCAGAGTTGAGAGGATGTCTCAGTCGAATATGTCTGAGGCAAAATTGGCCAGATCACCTTGCGGTGGCATGTCTGAACCTAGAGTTGCGAGGATGTCGAAGGCGAAACGTGCTGGACCTCCTCAAATTAGGGGCATCTCTGAGCCCAGTCGCAAGAATGTCTAAGGCGAAACGTGCTGGACCTTCTCAAATTAGGGGCATCTCTGAGCCCAGTCGCCAGGATGTCTCAGGCGAAGTACCAGACCACTTCGCGCCGGGCATCTTGGATCCCAGAGTTGCGAGGCTGTCCCAGGCGAAATGGGCCAGGACCTCTTGCCCCTGGCAGCTCGAAGCCCCAAGTTGAAAGGATCTCTCCGCGCAGCGCAATGCAGCGCAAGGGGGAGTGATACAACATAAATGCAATCCCATTCGTTGTAATGCAATGCCGTGCCATGATATGCAATGCAATGGCACTCCACGCGAATGCAATGCGTATGCAAAATGCTGATCGGCACGAGACAGAGACTTCCGGTGGGGGATACAGGATAAAGAGAGGGAGAGAAGGAGCACGTTGATGATGATGCTGATGATGATGAGGAGGAGGAGGATGACGAGAATGTGGAGTTGTTTTCCATAGCTCCCCATGCAACTTGGCATGAACTACGGTGAAACACCAGTAGCAGGAGGCAGGGCTGCCAACAGGATCGAGCACATCGGAAGCGCATTTAGCATAACATAAACCCACTGAACAAGAACACGACTTCTTCTCAGACGGAGGCAGAGGGCGCTGGCCTTCCATCTGCAGACCAGGGCCCGCGCGTTCTGAGAAGCAGGGGTGCTCCTGAGACGGGAAGCCTCCCCCCCCTCTCCCTACTCCTCTTTGCGCGTGGCCGACTCCTCCCCCGCTGCTGCTCGGCCCACCTCGAGCGGCAGTCCGCCAGCTTCTCTGCGGTCACCCTCTCGAAGTCGGTCCAGACCATCCCCGCCCCGGACACCACGTAACCCGTGAGGTTGCCGCCGCAGCCGTCCTCCGCGGGCGGCGGGGCTGCAGCACAGACCTGCTGCTGCTGCTGCTGCTGCTGCTGCTGCTGCTGCTGCTGCTGCTGCTGCTGCTCCCCCCCCCCCACCTCATCCTCCTCTTCCTCCTCCTCCTCCTCCTCCTCCTCCTCCTCCTCCTCCTCTTCCTCCTCCTCCACCTCCTCCTCCTCCTCCTCCTCCTCCTCCTCGTCCTCGTCCCCCTCCCCATCCTCCTGCCCCCCCCCCTCCGTCGAGTCCTCCACCGGCATGGGGCAGCACAGACCTCAACCACCTCGTCCTCCCCCCTCGGGACGAGGCGGATACTGGATACCCTCTCTTCCGATGGCGCATTCTTGTTCACGACGTCGGCCCCCGGGGATGCCCACTCTTGGGGATAGATTGTTCATTCAGAATTCAAGTTTGCACGGCAATGGACAGGAAATGGCCTCCCGATGCCAAAAACGAAGAAAAACCCGCAGTTGCGATTTTGTGTTATTGCGACGCCCTGATCTGATGAGGGCCAACGAGCTCGAGCCCCTATCGGCCATGTGACCGTTCTTTCCTTCGGCGTTTCGACATTGGGAGGAGGAGGGGGAGAGGGGGGAGGTCTTGCCTTGGACCTCTGCTTGGTGCGACTGTTTGGGGCCGTGCGTCATATGGGGGAGACCCCACCTGCTCGAAACAAGCGCCGACAACAGCCAAGACCTACTCCGGGGGGGGGGGGGGCGAGGGCCCGCGCCGACCAGCGAAATAATGAACACAAATTCGCTGAGCACCCCGCTCACCCGTAGCTGGGTTGCGTCTGCAACCGCAGCGTTGGGCGCGCGCCGAAGCCTGCGCCGCGCCGAGAGGGCGCGGGCGCCACGAGGCCTCGGTGCTGGTCGCAGCACGACCCAGCAACGGGCGAGAAACGGGGTGGGCACGGGTGGGTCAAATCCCGAGCGCGGGGCGCGCGCCCCAGGCACACGCAAACCTGTGGTACCTGCGCGCGGCCGCGGCGGGCAGCGGCCGCGCGCGGGGGCGCGCGGGTCCGCCCAATCGCCTGCGGCGCGCCGCGGCGCGCGCGAGCCAAGCGGCGGCGCGGCAACTGCTCGCGCCCGCGTCCGCCGCGTGCGCCTGGGATAGGCCCACGGCGGCAAGTCCGCTCGCAGGCGCGGACGTTCACCGTTGTGGGCGGGCACAAATCGGCCACGGTTGCGCGTAGGTCGCGCGCGCGGCAGTGCGACGCGACCGCGGCCTCGCTGCGCAGGCGCGGGCCATCGCGCCGTCGCGCGCCAGGGTTGCGCGTCGCGGGGGGGGGGGGTCGCTGCCCCGCGGCGCGTGCGCTTCGCAGGTGATTTGCTAGCGCCGGGGTTGCGTCGCCGCGGGGGGGGGTCGCTGCCCCCGCGGCGCGTGCGCTTCGCAGGCGATTTGCATTTGGAGGAGGCGCCGCGCGCGCGCCCCGCGCGCGCGCGCGGCGGGTGCCTCCCTGGCGCGCGTTATTTCTCTTCTTGTGTGTGTTGCGTGTGTGTGTGTGGTGCGTGTTGTGTGTGTGTGTGTTGCGTGTGTGTGTGTGTGTGTGTGTGTGCGTGCGCGCGCGCCGCGCGCGCGCTCGCGCCGCCGCCGCTCCATCGGCGGGCCGCCCTCCCTCTCGCGCAGGTTCCTCTCCCCCTCTGCCCCGCAGATTGGCCGCAGGCAGGAATTGGGCCGCGCCCCGCGCTCGGGATTTGAGCGCGGGGCGCGCCGCGCGCGCGCGCCCGCCGCCGCCGTCGTTCGCGGGCTCCTCCTCTCCTCCTCTCCTCGCGGGTCGCCTCGTCTCTCTCTCGCTCTCTCCTGCTTGCCTGCCCTCCGTGCTCGTCCCTCGTGGCCTGTTCGCTCCCCCGCTGCTCGCTTGTGCTCGTTGCCCCTCGTGCCCTGCTCGTGCGCCGTGGCTGCCCCTGCTCTTCGCTCGCCTGCGCGCCCTGGTGTTTGCTCGTCGCCGCGTCCTTTTTCGCGTCCGCCTTTGTCGTCGCCTTGTCGCCCTCGCGTTCGGCTGTCGCTGTTGCCTCGCGTGGGGTCGTCCTGGCTTGTGCTTGTCGGCGTGCTTGCTCGCTCGCTCGGCGTCGCGTTGCCTCGCTTTTCCCGTCGCCGTCGCCCCTGCGTGCCCCCTTTGCTTTCCCTTCCGCCGCCTGCCGCTTGGCGCCTGCCTTGCTGCTTCTGCCTTCGCGCCTGGCGGTTGCCTGCTTGCCTGCCTGCTCCCTCGTCGTTTTGCCGGTGGCTCGTCTCTCTTGGGCGCAGGCCCTCGCTGGCGCGGGCCCTGTGGGCACCTCGCTCGCGTCGCCTTGGCCTTTCGGCCAGGCTGCGCGCCAGGCTCGCGGCAAGGGCGCCCCTGGTCTCGGGCAAGGCGCAGGCCCCAGGGCCAAGTTTCGTGCGGGGGAGGGCGCAGGCCTTGGATCCTTGCGTTTTGGGTCGGGCGCTGGCCCCAGGACCCGATCGTGCGTAAGGGGGAGGGCGCATCCCGTTGATCCCTGTCTTGGGTAGGGCGCAGGCCCCAGGACCCGATGGTGCGAAGGGGGGAGGGCGCATCCCGTAGATCCCTGTCTTGGGTAGGGCGCAGGCCCCAGGACCCAGTGGTGCGAAAGGGGGAGGGCGCATCCCGTTGATCCCTGTGCGTCGGGTAGGGCGCAGGCCCCAGGACCCAACTGTGCGAAAGGGGGAGGGCGCATCCCGTTGATCCCTGTCTTGGGTAGGGCGCAAGCCCCTGGACCCCGTCTTGCTGGGCACCGCTCTCCTCGTGGGTCGGCCCGCGGGCCTTGTCTCGGGCAGGGCGCTGGCTTCTGGCTCCTCGTCTTGTGTGGGGGAGGGCGCTGGCCCCTGGTACCGTGTCTTGGGTGGGGCGCAGGCCCCAGGACCCAATCGTGCGAAAGGGGGAGGGCGCATCCCGTAGATCCCTGTCTTGGGTAGGGCGCAGGCCCCAGGACCCATTTGTGCAAAGGGGGAGGGCGCATCCCGTTGATCCCTGTGTCGGGTAGGGCGCAGGCCCCAAGACCCCGTCTGGCTGGGCTCTGGCTTCTTCTTGGGAGAGCTCCCGGGCCTTCTCTTGGGTTGGGCGCAGGCCCCTGGTCTTCCCCCTCTCGTGAGGGGCGCAGGCCTGGTCGCCGCCTCTTGGGGTCCCGCGCAGTCTCCGTCCTGTGCGCGCTCGCGCCGGCAGCTCGCCGAGTTCGGGCGCCCAAGCTGTCTCGCGCCGCGCGGCACCGCTCTTCGCGATGGGCGACCTCGGCAGTTTTCTTGGCGCCTTGGACGGCGCGTCGGCGCACGAGGCCGGTTGGCTCGAAGCCGCGGTGACCGCGCTCAAGGGCCAAGGTGTGGCGACGATCGCCGATTTAGAGGGCGCGGCATTCGAGGATTTCTCTTTTGCCGACAAGGAGCTCGACGCCGCGCAGAAGCGCCTCGTGCGCGCGGGGATCGCCGCGGCGAGCACGCCGGCGCCGGTGGCTGGGGGCTCGGCGGCGGCCGCCCCTCCAGCGCCCTCGGCGGCGGAGAACGCGGCCGCCCTCTGGCCGCGCTCAAGACGGGCACCAGCGAGGCGCAAGCGATCTCGACGCGATCTCGGGCTCGCGTGGCCCCGCGCGGCGCGTTCGCAGGAAAAGCCGGCCCGCGTGCTCTTGGGCCCTCTCCTCGGCAAGGCGTCGCTGGCCAACCTCCCGCAAGAGTTCTGGCCCAGTCGCGCTCGCGGGCGCGCGCGCGCTGGTTCTCGCATCTGGTCCCGTGCGCCGGTAGCTCCGACATGCTCGACGCGTTGAACGCGGAAGTCTTGAAGCGGCAGAAGAAGGAATCCAGCGAGGAAGCGCGCGTCTTCCTGTACTCGGACATCCGCAAGTGGGTGCCCGAGTGGGCCCGCTCGGGCCCTCGCGATTTCGAAGAGGAGGCTGACGGATCGTCCGGCGCCAGCAAGGACATTCGTGACCTCGCCAAGGCTCGTGCCGCGCGCGCGTTGCCTGGCCCGCGCGCGGGCGCTCGCCCCGCAGGAAGTGGCGGCGGTGAAGAAAGGGCCCGAGAAGAAGGCCTACTTAACCCTCTGCCAGTGGCAACTGGCTTGGAACCGGCGCCACCTGCCCGTCGCGCGCCCCCCCCGCGCGCCTGCCTGTTATCGCGCCGCGCGCGGCAGGTACATGGTCGCGCTGGTCGCCACGGGCCAGCTCACGTGGGCTGAGGTGCAGGCGCATCGCGACAACTGCTTGAAGGTGGCGGTTCAGGCTGCACGCGCGCGATTTCTCGTCGCTCTCTGTTCGCCGCGCGTTGCCGCGCAGGCGGCGGCCTCGAAGCGCCGCGTGCACCTCGGTATCGTGTACGACGAGGAGGCGCGGAAGGCGCGCCCCTGCGTTCGTGCTTGCGCGGCGCCCTGCGTCTGTGCCGGCGCGTGGCAGCTATGGGCCGAGCAGCTACGCTCGGGGGGCCCAGATTTCAAGCTGGGGAAGACGATCCTGCGGGTCGACCCGCGCGCCCTACAGCTGGCGCGGGATGCTTGCGACAAAGAAGACGGCGCCACCCACGCGACGGCGAGCGTCGCGCCGCGCGGATTCGCTTCTGCCACCTTTCTCCGCCGTTTCCGCGCGCGCAGGCACCGGCGGCCCGCGCTCCCGAGAAGGCGCGCGGGGCGGGCGGCGCCAGCCAGCCGTGGCGCGCCGCGCAGAGCTGGAGCAGCGGCTCCTGGGGCAGCGATTGGCCGAAGGGCCAGAAGCGCGAGCGCTCGTGGGGCAGCGATTGGAAGAAAAAGGACACGAGGAAGGTACGGACGCCGCCGCGCCCGGCGCAGCGCTGAGCGCCGCCCTGGCAGGGCGCGCGCGAGCCCCCGTAGGGGTGGAGCCCCTTCAGCCGTCAGAACGGCTCGCGCGCAAAAGCCTGCCTCCGCCCGCGCCGGGTCGGGGCCGTGACCCGGGCGCGCCCGATAGTTCTACGCTTTGTCGCTAAAAATGGCCCCGTGCGCCGTGCGCAGGACCCCCACTCGCGTGCTGGGACATGCCGTGTGCGCTGTTGCCGCGGAGGCCGCCTCGCTTTCCGCGCCGCGCTGCGGGTGCCCGGCGTGGCCGCGGCCAGCCTGGGCGGGGCGTGCGGGGGAGTTCCGCGGGGCAGCGTGCGTTCCGAGGGCGCTTTTCGCTACGCTTTGGCGCCTTGTCCACGTCCGCGGTTTGCAATCTTGTGCAATGCCTGCCGTGCCGATGCCGCCCCCGCCGCCCGCATCTGGCGCGCGAAAGCGGGCGGCGCCTGGGGCTGCATGCGTCGTCGCCAAATCTCGCAAGGCGCGCTTTCCCGGCTCTCGGTCGCGCGCGAGCCAGCGGCGCGCGTCAGGTGATGCCGGCGCCGCCAGCGCCACCAGGGCCGCAATTCAGGAGCGATTGGTCTCGGCGTTGCAGCGACAGCGCGTGGCGCGACATCTGCGTCGCGGCCGGCGGCTGTAGCGGCGGCGACGCGGAGAAACTTACCTTTCTGGCAAGGGCGCTGGACGGCGACCCCGCGCTCTGGGGCAAGTGGCGGCCCGCCGCGGCCTCGGCTTTGCCGCCCACGGCCGCTGAGGCAGTGCGGTGGGCCGCGCAGACCGCCCCCGCCGACGTGGTGGCTTTCCGCGAGGGCGAACTCGCGGCGCTTCGCGAAAGGGATCGGGCTCTCCGGGCCAGCGGCGCCGTGGAAGAATGGTTCCGGGGGGTGGACCCCGCCATGCGGCGCGTCGCACAGCACGTGAACGGGCCTCTCTGCGCAGAGATCGCGGAGCGCATTGCCTTCTGCGACCCAGGTTGCGTGGAATTCTTCAGGACGGGGGCGCCCCTCGTCGGCGAGCTCCCGCGGTCGGGCCACGGCAGCCCAGAGGTGTTCCCTCCCCATCTGGGCATCGCGGAGCTGCTCGGCAACGCCGAGTCGACAAATCGCGACATTTCCCGTGGCCTCCGCGACGGCGCGCACGGCGACGCCATTCTCCGCAAGACACGGGACGAGGCCGAGCTGGGGCGCATCAGTTGCCCGGTGCCGCTCCGCGACGTGTGCCTGGACGGGGCCGTCATCGCTCCGAGGTTTTCGGTTGAGCAGCTCCGTGAAGACGGGTCCTCGAAACTCCGGTTGGTCGACGACATGACCAAGGCTAGGATTAACGAGGCGACGCGGCCTCAGGAGCGGCTCCACCACGATGCCGTGGACGCGCTTTTCGAAGCAGCTCGCATCTTCCAGGAAGTTGCGGGGCGGGCACCCGCCCTCTGGAAGGCAGACATCGACGCTGCCTTTCGTCGCGTGCCCATTCGCGCTGAGCACCGCCGGTTCGCTTGGATCGTGTTCAGCGCCGCCGGGCAGGTCTGGGCGGCGCAGCACGCGGCAGCGCCCTTCGGGGCCACGTCGTCGGTGCACAGCTGGGCGCGAGTGGGTGCCTTCATCGCGGAGGCGGCGCGCGTGCTCTTGCGGATCGCCGCGCTGCGATACGTGGATGATTATTTTGGGCCGGATCACCCCGAAGTGGTGGAGCACGCAGCAGCGCAGCTGGCGGAGCTAATTCAGCTGATGCTCGGCCCAGGCGCGGTGGCGCCGGACAAGATCGCCTGGGGGTCCCCGCTGGTCATCCTCGGCCTCGAAATCAAGGCGGGGCGGCCTTGGCGCGACGCGCCGGCCGGCCGGCTGCGCGCATCGCCAGGTGCTGCCACGCGCGTTCTGCGCGCGTCCCGCACCCGCGAAGACCGCCAAGTGGCAGCGTGTCATCGGCGAGGCGCTCGCGACGCGCGCCCTCGCGCCAGGCGGCTCGCGCGTCCCCCCTAATGTGTCGGGACCTTGCGTTCGCTGTGCAGGCGCATCGTCCAAGCTGGCCGGGGGCTTGGCCTGGGCAGCGTCGCATCTCTTCCGCCGCCTGGGGCGCGCCCTCCTCAGGCGCGGCGCTGCCCCCGCGCGCCCGGGGGGGCGGGGCGCCGCGCTTCGTGCTCGCAGGCCGTTGTACGCGCAATCGCATCGCGGGGCATCGAAGGCCCATGAGCCGTTGATGCTTGCCCTGCAGTGGTGGCGCGAGGTCTTGGCCATGGACTTGTGCCAAGCGCGGCCGTGGGCCGACAAGGCGCGGCCTCGCGCAACTCTCTTCGCGGACGCGTCGGGCCAACCACCGTGCGTGGCCGCGGTGCTCGTCACCGCCACGGGCGTCCGTTTCACCTCCATGGTCGTCCCGGATTCCTTGATGGCGTCGTTCCAGCGTCGCCGGGACAACCAGATTCAGGGGCTGGAGCTCCTGTCTATCGCGCTGGGCACGTGCACCTTTGCAGGTATTGCTTTCGCGTGCGACTGCCCGCGCCGGCGGGCAGGTCTGGCCCCTCGTCTTCGCTGCGCTCAGGGGAAGTGCACGGTTGCGACTTGCATATTTACAGCGACAATACCGGCGCGGAGTCTTGCCTGCGGAAGGGCGCCGCGAAATCCTTCGACCACTCGTGCATCGTCCACTCCATGTGGAGGCGCGCGGTGGAGCTCGACGTTGACCTCGCGGTTTTCCGCGTGCCCACGGCTGAGAATCTGGCCGATTTGCCTTCTCGGCGCGCCCGTGCGCGCCGCGCGGTGCTGCGGGCTGGCCGCGGGCGCAGCGTGTCGCAGGGGGGGCGACGAACTCCTGCTACGCATCGGCGCGGTGCGCACGCGCCCGTGGCTCGACGAAGAATTCTGGCACGCGGATGCCTGGGGCGCTCTCTCTGTGGCCCGCCTCTTCGGCTAAACCGCGCGCCATGTCGCGCCCGGGTGCCATCTTGTGCGTCGGGGCGTCGCGATACTTAAGTTTGGGCGCGGCAAAGCGTTCGGCGCGCCGCCGCGCTTGTCATCCTAGGGCCCCGCGTTTTGTCGCAAGCGGAGTGCACGCGGCCAGTGCCTCAGGCGCGTCGCTCGCATTGTCAGGCGTGCCGCGCGGCATCATGTCGTTATTCCTTGAATTGTGTTCCTTGCGCCCGACAGCGCCCAGGACGGCCGTCGCCTGGGCTGCTGATTTCCTGGCTGAGAACGGCTTCGTACGAGCCTGCGAGCTCGCCAGTGCAGACGCCGCAGACCTGGAAGGTTGGCCGGTCACCGCGCAGGCCAATGTCGAAGTCCTGCACGAATTATTCAGAGCCGCGAAGATTGCTGCGCGCCGAGGCTCGGCTGCGCGAGGGTTTTTGGCGCGCGCGGCCCCCCCCCCCCGCCGCGCGTGCGCCTCGCAGGCGCGCCCGTCGCCGTGGGCTCGGCAGTTGGAGGGCGCGCGCCCGCCCGCAGCCGGTCGCCGGCGAGACGCGCGGCGCCGAGCGCCCCGGGGTCACCCCCTGGGCCGCCACAGGCGCGCGTCATCGGCCCCGCGCGCTTGCGCATGCCCGCGCGCCGTGGCTCGCGAGGCGCCCGTCCCGAGCGTCCTCGACCAGCTGGGCGCGCCGGTCGCGCTGCCAATAACGCGCGGGCCCCGGGCGGCGCTCGCCGAGGCCGCTGCTCGCCTCCGCAGTCCGGCGGACGCGGCCCGCTGGCGGGAGGAGGAACGCGTTCGCGCTATGCTGCAACCATGCGCACGGTCGCTCCCAAGCGTGAGAAGCGGCCTCAAATGCTGGGAGGCCTACTGCATCAGAATGTTGAAATACCCGTGCATGCAGCTCCCGCCAGCCTGCGCGGACCTGGTCGCCTGGAGCGCCCTCTTTCGCTGCGGGGAGACGTACGCAAATTACTGCAGCTACGTTAAGATCGGCTGCCTCCTGACTGGGGTCTGCGTCGCCGTGTTCGACCGCCCCGAGGTCAGGCGCGCGCGCGCCGCCGTCCGGGCGCGGGCCGATTGGACTCCGCGCCCGCGCTTGTTCATCCGTAAGAGCGCGGTCGCCGCGCTGGTCGAGTTGGGCGCGCGCCGCCCCGAGTGGCTCCGCGCGTCGATGCTTTTCCTTTTCGCCTACACGTTCTTGTTGCGTGTTCCCAGCGAGGCGTTGCCGGCCGTGCGCGTGGCCGACGCCGGCGACGCGCCGCCCTTTCAAGCGGCGCTAGTGCTGGGCAAATCGGAGCTCACGCTGCTGCTGCGGCGGCGGAAGAACCGGCCGCAGGGCAGTCGCCTGTCGCGGAAGTGCTGGTGCTCATCGTGCCGCGCCACGTGCCCCGTGCACACCCTGGGCCCCTGGGTGGCGCGTTGCGGGCTGGGCCGCGGGCTCTTCGGAGGCATCTCGGCGGCTGCTGCGCTGCGGACCCTGCGCGAGATGCTCGCTGCCCTCGGTGTCCAGGGGGCGAGCCTGTTTCGGTTGCATGACCTCCGCAGGGGCCACGCCAAGGACCTGCAGGAGGCTGGCGCGACGCTGGCCGAGATTCTCGCGGCCGGGGAGTGGCGGTCCTGCGCTTTCATGGCGTATCTCGACCGTGACGATCTGGAAAGGGACGCGGTCGTGGAGGCGGGGCCACGCGCCCTCCGCCCGCGCCGCGGCGCGCTGCTCGCGCCAGGCGCACATGCTGGAGTCGGATTCGGACGAGGGTGCCTGCTAGGCGCCGGCGGCCAGCGCCGCCACGTTTCGCTTCTGTGCGTGGGCGGGTGCGCGCGACGGCGCCCGTGCTCTGCCCCCGCGCGTTCGGCAGCGGGTGGGCGCGCGTTGCCGGCCCGTGTCGCCTGCGTGCCGTGTGGCGTTGGGTCTGCGCGCAGGCGTGGCGCGAGGCCGCCCAAGCGGCGGTGCGTCGGGCCTGGGCCCGTCGCAGCCGCCCGCGGGGGGCAGCCTCGCGCCGCGCCGCTCCCACCGACGGCGGCAGCAGGCGGGGTCGAGGCCCTGCGCGCGCGGCTCGATTTGTGGTAGGCCC